TCGGGTTACAGTCCTGACCTGAAAGGAGCCAGTATGGGGAACCCTGACCCTCCATTACTGTAGCAAGTTCCTCAGAGAGCAAGTGTTTAAAGAGAAAAGCTTTATTAAGAGGTGACAGTCCACCGGGCATTGGTGGCTCACGCCTTAATCCCAGCACTCAGGAGGCAGAGGCAGGCAGATGTCTTGTAAGTTTGAGGCCAGCCTGGTTTGCAGAGTAAGTTCCAGGACAGCCTCCAAAACGATACAGAGAAGCCTGGTCTCCAAAAAAAAAAGTTACAAAAAGAGGTGACAGTCCACAATCAGTGGATGTGGTGGCACATACCAACAATCCTTGCACTGGGGGGGTGGAGGCAGGAGGATAGAAGTTTGGGGTAAGCTTTTCCTGTCTCAGAAACAAAACAAGGGCTAGAAAGACGACCTGAATTCGACCCCCTGGACCCCGATGGTGGAAGGAGAAGACCAACTCCCAAAAGTTGTCCTCTGGTCTCCACATAGTTACTGTGCTACACACACACACACCCGTGCATACACTAAATAAATTTAAATTTTAAAACCATGTACATTTAGTACTGACAGATGTAGCTCTTTCTCCCCAAATATCTCTGAGCCATGGTTGTATCGGAAACTTTGATTTTTCGAGACAGGGTTTCTCTGTGTAACAGCTCTGAACGCCCTGGAACTCACTCTGTAGACCAGACTGGCCTTGAACTCACAGAGATCCGCCTGCCTCTGCCTCCCGAGTGCTGGGATTAAAGGTGTGCACCACCACCGCCCAGCTAGCTGTATTGGAAACTCATGCAGATATTGTGCTGCAGAAATAATATACCAGTTTAGGACCAGGAGACGCACCTGCTTTCCTACTGGATTCCTTATTCCCACTCAACCATGCATACCTAATTAACTATATTTTCAACTATCTGACCTTACGAGTATTTTACCTGCATGCATCTCTGTGCAACACCTTTGTGGCTGGCATCCATAGAGGCCAACAAGGTGTTCAGTCCCGTGGAACTGGGGTTACAGGCGGTCATAAAGCCATCTTGTGGGTGTTGGGAACGGAAATGGGGTCCTCTGGAAGAGCAGCCAGGGTTCTTCAGCAGAGCCGCTGCTCCAGCTCCAGGTGAGACATCTCACAGACACCTGTAAATCCAGCTTCTGAAAATCGGATGCCCCCAGCCTCTGTAGACACTGGCACTCACATGTGCACGCATGCAGGCATGCATGTGCGTGCGGAAAAAAAAGTAAATCTTAAGAAAAAGAATATGCTGGATGATGAGATTCAGAGGCACCTTATTTAAGTCAGAAATGAATAATTAGTGCCCAAGCAGACATGCTTCCCTGGTCCCTGCGGAGAAAAGAGAGGCAGGCTGGGGTGAACTACAGGAACAGCCACGGTCCTAAAAGGCTCCCCTCCTCTGGAGGCACAGACTGGGGCTGGTATGCTTCAAGGAACTGAAAATAATGCTTTCAAAATACAACAGTGGGGAAAAATAAAATTAATTAAAAACCAGCAAAACAAAAACTGCAACAGTGGGCTTGAGAGGTGGCGACTGAGCACGCTTGCAGAGGCCACGGGTGGTTCCAGCACCGTGCAGCATTTACACAAGTGATTGTGTAACCATCCGGCTCCCTCTTCCGGCCTCTGTAGGCTCCGGGCATGCTCGGTACAGACATACAAGCAGGCGAAACACCCAAACATAGACAAGTAAGTAAGACCCTTAAAAAAATGATATGAACCCTCATGTATGTGTCTTCTTGCTTCAAATTTTTATAGACCATTTTAGGACTATTAAGATTTTTAATAACTGGAGACGGTGGTGGTACACTTCTGTAATCCCAGTTTGAGGCAGAATTACCAGAATTTCTAAGTCAGCTGCGCACGCGCATGTGTGCATGCACACGCATGAACACACACACCCTGTTTCAAAAAACAAAAATAGTAATAATTAAACCCATCTGGTTAATAGGAAGCTCTGCTTTTATAGAAGACAGCTGGGTGAGGAAATGTGGTGTTAATATTCTTTCATTATACCTCTTGGTCAGCAGGCTGAATCACAAGGCCAAGTTTCCCGAGGGGAAATAAGCCCTCAATTGTGTGAAAAATCACCTAAATACTATTATTTATCATATTAGACTGTGAACGGGCCCACAGATAGGGTTTTGGCGCATCAGAGATGTCCCCAGGTTCTCTGGAAGATAACTCCCAGTACACCACAGTTTGGGAAATAGATGGTCTCCCAGACCTGTAAAGTGACAGCAAAACTTATGTGTACCAAGTACTCCCAAATGAGGCTAGACTTGTCATTTGTCAATTATTTTACTCTTTTAAGATTGATCTTTGTGAGACCAGGCAGTGGTGGTGCACGCCTTTAATCCCAGCACTCGGGAGGCAGAGGCAGGCGGATCTCAGTGAATTCGAGGCCAGCCTGGTCTACAGAGTGAGTTCCAGGACAGCCTCCAAAACAATACAGAGAAACCCTGTCTCGAAAAACCAAAAAACAAAAACAAAAACAAAAAAAAACAAAAAAAAAACGTGTGTGTGTGTGTGTGTCTGTGTGTGTGAGAGGCACGTGTGTTGCAGCATGACTGCGGAGGTCAGAGGACAGACTGTGAGTCACTTTTCTCTTCCCATGTGGGTTCTGATGACTGCGCTGAAACTTCCAGGCGTGGCAGCAAGTACCTTTACCCACTGATAGTCTCACCAGCATATTCTAATCATCGGGGGTCAAAAGCAAAACAAGACAAACAGAAAAACAAAGGAGAGCCCCATATTCCATACCCCCACGAACTGAGGATCCCAGTGGGTGTTGCTGAGTGTGAGTGTCTTCTATACCCCCTGACTTGCGGCCCCGAATATACCATTTTCTGGTCCCCTGGAGCCTGGGGTTTTAGTACAACGGAGTCATTACCTGATGGAAAGTGAGTTCACTTAGTGTGTGTTTGAGCACGCCCCCCATAGGATGGTCCTGGTGCCTCTGCTTCCTCGGGGCAATGGGGAATGCTCTCCTTTGGGTGGAGAGCTGCTGCAGGGGTCTGACTGCAGCCCAGGCACTGTCCTGGTGCGCTCCTCAAGGAAGGGGTCAGAGCCTTACTCAGCTCCATGTCCCCTAGACCACCCTGCACACACAGCTCGGCCCAAGTCCCAAAGAAGACTGAAAGATGGAGAGCTGCGCTCACATGGAAGAAGGTTGCTTGGTGGGGAGTTTGGTCTGTAGAGAGCGTGTGTGTGTGTGTGTGTGTGTGTGTGTGTGTGTGTGTGTGTGTGTGTGACAGGGTGAAGACTGGCTGCCCTCCCCTCCCCCACGTCCCCTGTCCCCTGCGGCCGTCTGCCAGAAGAGGACAGAAAGGCAGTGTCTGTGGGCCCAGCCACATGGAGAGGCTCCAAATGCTTCAGCTGTGTGTTGTGAGAGGGACAATGAGTCCCTTCCTGTCCCCGAAAGGCCTTTCAGGGCTCCCCTCCACCTCGGGATGGGTGGGCCCAAGCGCCTGGCGTTATTGGAGAACTGGGCTCGGTTACACCACAGATTTATTCCAGAATGTATGGTGCTGGGTTGCTGGCTGTAAAGTAATAGCTAGGCTCCTGGGCAGCCGGCGCTCCAGCCCTTCCCGAACACACCAAGCATGGGAGGCTCCATCTGCCCCAGGCATTGTCCAGCTCATGGGTCCCTCCCTGCCTTCTTCCTCTTAAAAAGAATTTTCTTATACATCTGTTTGTGTGTGCGTGCATGCATTTCATGTAGAGGTCAAAGGACAACTGGTAGGAGTTGGTTCATCTTTCTAGACGTGGGTTCCGGAAATTTAATTCAGGTCTCCAGGTTGGTGGCAAGCACCTTTACCCCGAGACATCTCGCCTGACCACGGATGTCTTCCTCTTTATAATGTGTGGTCCATGAGTGCTGTGTTTCACACATTCTTTATGGGGTTTTTTGTTTTGGTTTTCTGAGACAGGGTTTCTCTGTGGCTTTGGAGGCTGAGGCCGTCCTGGAACTCTCGCTGTAGACCAGGCTGATTTTGAACTCACAGAGATCCGCCTGCCTCTGCCTCCCGAGTGCTGGGATTAAAGGCGTGTGCCACCACCTCCCGGCCGTTCTTTTTGTTTTAATTAATTAAATTTGCGTACTTATTTATTGTCTTAGTCGCTGTTCTATTGCTGTAACAGAGGGTTTCACTGTGTAGCCCTGACTGTCCTGGAACTTGCTCCATAGACCAGACTGGCTTCAAACTCACAGAGATCCTCCTGCCTCTGCCTCCCAAGTACTGGAATTAAAGGTGTGCGCCGCCGCCACTGCCACCGCCACTGCCGCTGCCACTGCCGCCACCACCTGGCTATGACCAACTCTTATGAAGGAAAGCATTTAATTAGGGGCTTGTTTATAGTTTCAGAGACTTAGGCCAGTCACAGTCATCATGGAGTGTGGTGACATGAGTGATTCAAGCACAATGGCTGAGAACTTTACATCCTGTCCCCAGGCAGCAGCCTGAGAGAGAGAGACTCTGAGCCTGGCTTGGGCTTTTGAAACCTTAAAGCCAACCCCAGCAGCACACTCCTCCAACAAGGACGTGCCTCCGGATCCTCCCAAGCAGTCCACCAGCTGGGAACTAACACGCAATGTGTGAGCCTCTGGGGGTCATTCTCATTCAGATCCCCACAGTTAATGCCCCTGGCCTTCCCTTCCCGGTACCTAATGTCTATAAACATGTCTTAGAAAAGAGCCCTTTGATTTCTTTGGGGAAGTTCTGAACCAAGACTTAGAACATCCACACTGTTGCCTGGCAGGTTTATTAACCTTGAAGAAAGGGTAGAAATCTTGGAAGCCCGGGGAGATCATACGACATGGTTCCCCCCGGGGCAGGGTGTCTCAACGGCGTCTTCTTTCCACCTCCAACCCTGGGTGGAATTTCCTAGAGATAAACAGTGCGGAATGGGGACCGGATACCTGCTTCCTTCTGAGGGAAGTGGCCTGTGTGACTTGCTGAGTTGTGTATCCCTGTCCCTCTAGGCCACCTGGAGCCTCTCTCGATGCTGACATGGTGACGGCAGAGCCACAGGCAGCCACGGCCGAACCGGAGCTCCGACTACAGATTGGCTCACAGGTGAGAGCCTCCCTTTGCCTGCACCCTGAAAAGTGGGGGGGGAGGGTGAGCAACCTTCTCAGCCCCCTTCCTTTCTCCCTAAGAACGGAGGACTTGCATAGCCTGTCACCTCCTTCACGAAGGGCTGTCACTTTCCTGAGTATCTCCTTGAACTGCCTTCCCTGGAGACTGGAGTCAAAAGTGGTTGAACAGGTCTGGATGTGGCCCAGTGAGCGTTGTCAATCTCTCTTTGTGCCTTCCATTCCAACAGTTGTGGAGACAGTTACCTTTCACCCCTTAGTTGGCCTCAGGATGTACAGCAAGTTCTTCCAAAAAGCGAGCCTCTCTTCCTCAGGTACTGCTAGTCATCCCAGGTGTTTGGGATCTTAAAATGACTACTGAGATGGTCACAGTTGCCATCAGTTTGAATATATATATATATATATATATATATATATATATATATATATTAAATGCATTATGTATTGGCAACCTACCATATTCCAGGAACAATAAGCAAAGCCACTTTGGCTTCTGTACCCAGAAAGCTTCAGTCTAAAGAAGGGAGATAGTATTCCATCTTTTAGAAGAAGAAGAAAATAGAGGGATACAGATATAGCTCAGTGGTAGGGCCCACCCAGCATGCTCAAATCCCTGGGTTCAGTCTCTACAATGAGAAAAGCAAAATGTAGTAAGGACTCAAGCCTAAGTCCTCTGGCTCCAAAGGTCATGCATTTAATTTACTGTTCAGTGTTGTCTGGTAGCAAACATGACTGAGTGATTTGCACTGCCGTCAGTTTTCAGCAGCATTCATAATCAGGAAGGTCACGTTTTTACACACCTGTCCTCTTCGTCCATCTTGTCATGAGAGAAGAAACTGTAAGTTCTGTCTGCTCAGCTCTCAGGAAGATAGTAATGGACTGCGAGTCTCCCTAAAATTTAAATTCATGCTACTGCCTTGAGGACAATTAAAACCATTTTTTTTCAGGGATGGAGAGGTAGCTCAGAGATTAAGGGCTCTTAAGTCTCTTATAGAAGACTCGAGTTCAGCTCCCAGCACCCACATGGCAGCTCACGACTATCTGAAACTCCAGTACCAAGGGGGTCAGCACCCTCTTCTGGTCTCTGTGGACACCAGGCATGCATTGGTACACATACATATATGTAGCCAAACACGCATGCATCAATTAAAAATAAAATAAATGCTATTTTTTTTCCTTTGTAGGCACTCTTACGAACCCTAATTGTTGTTTTCAAAAAAGCAATTCTGTTTTGATAGCCATGGAAAGTGTGCTTGCGTTCTCACGTTTAAAATTTATACTGTGCAACCAAGAACAGCAGCATAATTCGTGAGCGGATGACGTAACTAAGGAGAGGTCTTTATATAAACAACTCTTAGTCTTTTTTGTTTGTTTGTTTTTGTTTTTTTGTTTTTCGAGACAGGGTTTCTCTGTGGCTTTGGAGGCTGTCCTGGAACTCACTCTGTAGACCAGGCTGGCCTCGAACTCACAGGGATCTGCCTGCCTCTGCCTCCCGAGTGCTGGGATTAAAGGCGTGCGCTACCAACGCCCGGTGCAAGAATGGTTTGTATCGCGAAACACATATACTTTCTCTCATTCTCATTCAGAGTGTTTCACGTGTTTTCTTCCTAAAGGGTTTATGGTGCTAACCTCCTAAAATCGTATTTAGAGGCATGTAGTTCCACACATATGTTCTAGACAGAGCTATCTGCAATCATAGGAAACCTTCTATCCACTGGGGAGCCATTTGCCGCGGGGGCTGGTTTCTGAGTGCTCAGCTGCAGCTGGGGCAGCTGAGGGATGGAAGCTTCCATTTCATTGGATTAAGTTCCAGTAACCCCATGTGGCTGCCGGAGACTGTATTGGACAGTACATTTTTAGGCCTCATCTAAAATCTAGATCTCTATGTGATTCACACATTCACTCAGACAACAGGTACTGACTGCCTCCTGCTCTGCCGGGATCATTCTAGAAGCTAAGGAGCAGCTGTAGACAAAACAAATTTGTCACGGAGAGCCATTCCAGTGGGGTTTGTGCTCCAGGGAGCACAAGTCATCGTGGCTTTACACCTCAATTCGGGGCAGTTTGTTAAGCCCAGGGTTAGCAAAAATTTAAGGATTTGGCCCGGCATTGGTGGCACACGCCTTTAACCCTAGCATTCCCAGGTGACCTCTGAGGTTGAGGCCAGCCTGGTCTACGGAGTGGAAGATACCTGCTGTGCAAGCCTAGGACCCTGAGAACCAGTGTAAAAAGCTGGGCATGGCAGTTTATGACCCCAGCCCTGGAGATAAAGAGAGAGGTGACTCCCAAGGGCTCACTGACCAGCCAGTCCAGCCCAGTCAGCGTTCTAGGCCAATGAGAAAACTGTCTCAAAAAACACATACATAGCCGGGTAGTGGTGGCGCACGCCTTCAATCCCAGCACTCGGGAGGCAGAGGCAGGATCTCTGGAAGTTCATGGCAAGCCTGGTCTACAGAGCGAGTGCCAGGATAGGCTCCAAAGCTACTCAGAGAAACCCTGTCTTGAGAAAAACAAAACACAAAGCACATGCTTACAAAAATAAAATAAATCTTAAAAAAAAAAAACCTCCAAAGACTGGAGAGATGGCTCATCAAGAGTATTGGTTCCTCTTACAAAGGACCTGGGTTGAGTTCCCAGTCAGTACCCCACATGGTGGGTCACGACCATCTATAATGCCAGTTCCAGGAAATCTGATGCCCTCTTCTGACCTCCTTAGGCACCAGGCACACATGGTTAACAGACATACATGCAGGCAGGCACCCATACACTTAAAAATTAAAAATGATAAAACAAATGTGGTTAGACAGTAGCGTAAGGACCCCTCACCTTGTATTTGTCTCTGGTACAGGGTCAAGGCAGAAGGTTCGAGGGCTGGGCAAGCTCCTAGAAGGTCCGTTTCTTTTCCAGAGACTAACCCAGTACTGCCCTTGGGAAGGAGTCCTCCGAGGAGCCCCCATAACCTCATGCTCGAGGCCAGAGTGGACATGCTCGGCTCCAACATGATCATCAGTGGCCCGGCTGCAGACCTCGGTGCTAACGAGGCCAGCAGGCCCTCCAAGAAGCAGCTTGGTAGTGTCCAGAACGCTGGACTACCTGCCTGCGCCCGAGCCCAGCCCCTCAGCATAAAGGACAAGATATCCAAGTGGGAAGGCAAGGAGGAGTCGCCTGCTCCTGAGCCTGCCAGGGAAGCAGATGGCCAAGAGAACTACTTGCCACCCTGCAGCGGGGCAGAGAGGAGAGGCAGCGAGGTCACCGGAACAAGGAACGGAATGAGGCTGGAAGCAGAGAGCTTGGGGAATGACAGCAGAAAGACAGGGAGACCCGTGTGTCGGGACACGGAGCGGCGGTGGCCAGGCCTGTGGCAGAACGACGGGCAGCCAGAGCCCGGCCAGCACCGAGGTCTCGAGCTGAAGCCCAGTGACCTACGCCTTCAGAGCGACCATCTCTCGGTGCTGAAACAGGTCAAGAGACTGGAGAAGGCCCTGAAGGACGGCTCTGCTGGCTTGGACCCCCAGCCGCCGGGGACCTGTTATTCCCCCCACTGCCTACCCGACAAAACAGAGGAGGACCAGCCCACCCCGGAGAGCCGTGGAAGTGGGGGTGCCTTAGCAGCTGGCCGGAGGACCCACCGTTTGGAGGGCAGCGAGCCAGGCCCCGAGGTCTCAGGGGAGTCGAAAGGCCGGGAGAGTGTGTACAGGGGCTCCAGGCGGTACCCCCCAAAGCCTTTCATCAATCCCCTCCCCAAGCCCCGCAGAACGTTCACACATGCTGGAGAGGGGGACAAGGACGGGGGCCTGGGCATCAGCTTCAGAAGGGACAAGAGAAGCCTGCCTCCCCTGCCCTCGCTGCCTCCCCCTCCCCCTCCCCCGCCGCTGCCCTCCTCGCCCCCTCCCTCCTCGGTGGATAGAAGACTGTGGACCGGGAGACAGAGAGCCAGTGCTGACCACAGGTAGGTGCTCACCAGATGACTCGCTGTCTGTCGCCTGTGTCCCGTTGGGACTGCCCCTTCTCAGCCTGGCGACGGGGTGGTCACAGTCACCCGAGGGCTCTCCTTCCGAGTCGGCCAGATGGCCATGACGTGAGGTGGATTGCTGATCCACCCGGGAATTCCGTAACTGGTGTGTTTGGCTTTTGCTTTCACCAAAGAATGTTTGCTTCTAATTAATTTCCTCTGGGGGCAGGGCACAGTGGTACAAGCCTGTAACTTCAGCTCCTGGGAGTCTGAGGCAGGAGAGTCATAAACCCAAAGCCAGCCTGTACAACAGCAAGTTCCAGGCTAGCTTGGGCGGCTTAGTGAGATCCTGTCCCACAACAGCAAAATTACCCTTCAGGTGTGGTCAGGACTTGTAGTTGTCACCAAAGGGTAAGTGAAGAAGTGTGTGAAGCTAGCCATTTCCTAGTTTACCTTTTTTTGTCTGTGTGTCTGTCTGTCTGTCTGTCTGTCAGAGTGGGTGTGGAGTTCAGAGCTGACATCCATGTCTTCCTCAATTGTTACCCACACTTTATTTTATTGAGCAGGGCTGGAGAGGTGGCTCAGCGGTTAGGAGCACTGGCTACTCTTCCAGAAGTCCTGAGTTCAATTCCCAACAACCACATGGTGGCTCACAACCATCTGTAATGAGATTCGGTGCCCTCTTCTTGCTTACATGCTTGCAGAACACTGTATATATAATAAATGAATATTTATTGAGGCAGGATATTTGTCTTCCATTGACCCAGCTTGGCTCAGGGACCCCCATGTCTGTGCTTCCAAAATGATGAGTCTACAGGTGGGCTACAGTGTCCACCTGGCTTTTCTGTGGGTTTTAGAAATCCAAACTCCCTTCCTTCCTTCCTTCCTTCCTTCCTTCCTTCCTTCCTTCTTTCCTTCCTTCCTTCCTTCCCTTTCTTTCCTTCCTTCCCTTTCTTTCCTTCCTTCCTTCCTTCCCTCCCTTTATTTCCTTCCTTCCTTTTCCTTTCCTTCTTTCTTTTTCTTTGTTCCTTTCTCCTTCCCTCCTTCCTTCTCTGTCTCTTTGGAGACAGCATCTGTGTATGTAGTCCTGGCACTCTCTCTGTACACCAGGCTGGCCTTGAACTCACAGATCCCTCTGCCTCCTAAACGCTGGGATTAAGGCCAGCACCACCACTCCCAGCTTGTTTTGTTGTTGTTGTTGTTGTTGAGAAAAGTCTTTGTAGGGGTCCCTGCAAGCTCTACAGCCAGCAGAGAAATGAACCTCAGAGACACATGTATGTAGCTGGTGCTGATTCAAACTTCTAGAGTCTGACACCAGGCCAGTTTATTTTACACGTATTTAAGTACAGCACAATTTTTAGGGAAAAAAAAGTTCCTGGTAACAGTTACTCAGTCCCATGTATACAATAAAACTCAAAGCATGACTACATCAAAACTCTCTTGCAAAGTACGTTTGCCCTCTGCCATGAAGATGGCCCAGGATACAGTGTGATCTCTGACCCACACAGCACAGAGGTCAGCAGGCTATGAAGTACAGGGACTTCTGCACTAAGGATGGGTTCTGCTGACTGAGAAACAGTGCTGAGATAAAGGTTTGGGGAGGAAGCGTCTGGGATAAACACTCCAGGGGATTTGGGTGAGGCCTGGCCCACAGAGAGCCAAGGTCACCTGGTTATTAAGAGCATCTGATCCCAGCCTTCTGGGGGGAAAACGGGTACACACATCCATTCTGTTGGACATGCCCGAGAGCCTAACGTTCCTGATTTCCCTAGTGCTTGTCTGTGAGCACAATGACTCCAAGCTGTCGATAGGTCTTACTCTGCTGTCAGTGGACTCACGCTGTAGCTCAGGCTGGCCTTGAACTTGTGGTAATCCCACCTTCTCATCCCAAGGGCTTCTGCCCCCCCACACTTGATGGTCTCACCCATCCTGTGCATGTCACTGGCAAGTGTGTGATGGGGATCTCTCAGTCTCTGATATGTGCACTCATGCCTGCTTGGATCCCCACGTGAGTGTCACTCCAGGCCACTGCCAACCGTCTCCTGTCACCGTAGCCAATGTCTTATTAAACGGCATCACCCTTTATTTAGTAACTTAACTCAAGAGCTGATCGCTCTCTCTGATTTTCTGTTTTCCATGCTCCTGACTAACCCAGCAGCAAGTCCTTCCGTCGTACTGTTGAAACTTGATCTGGAATCTGGTTATATCACCTTGGATCCACTGCCCACCTCCCAGAATATTCCTCCCTCAATAACCAGAGGCAGTTTCCAGAAATTAAGTTGTATCCTGTGTCCACTAAGTATCATTTGTCAGCTAGGGTGCTTTTGGTTCAGATAACTTAATTTTTTTCTGTTCTTTTCCAAGAGGAAAACAGTTTGCATGTTCCAAAGTGTGTGTGTGTGTGTGTGTGTGTGTGTGTGTGTGTGTGTGTGTGTGTGTGTGTGTGTGTTTTAGACAGGGTCTCTAAAGTCGTGGCTATTCTGGAGCTTACTATATAGACCAAGCTGGCCCCAAAGTCACAGAGATCCACCTGCTTCTGCATCCCCCAAGTACTGGGATTAAAGGCGTGCGCTATAGTACTCGGACATATATAATTATTCATATACAAAATTCTTGCATGTATTTTTAAAACATTCCCTCTACTACTATTATATTTCACATACCCCCAAGTACATGTTTTAAATTAGGATTTTGTGTATTTGTTTCTTCCTAAGTGACTTAATATTTTTGTTGCAATTTTTTTTTTTTTTTTTGGTTTTTTGAGACAGGGTTTCTCTGTGGCTTTGGAGGCTGTCCTGGAACTCACTCTGTAGACCAGGCTGGCCTCGAACTCACAGAGATCCGCCTGCCTCTGCCTCCAGAGTGTTTTGTTGCAATTTTAAGACTATTTTTAATTATGTATATATGTGTAGATATGTACATGTGAGTGCAGGTGTCCATGGAGGCATTAAACCCCCTGGAGCTGTAGTTACAATCTGTTGTGAGCTATCCTGCATGCTTGGTTGCTCAGTAAACTCAGGTTCTCTGCAAGAACAATCTTTCTAGCCTTTCTTTGTTTATTTTTGTTTTTTGTTTGTTTGCTTGCTTGTTTGTTTCCCCAAGACATGGTCTCTAGCTGTCCTGTAACTCTCTGTAGACCAGGCTGGCCTTGAACTCCCAGAGATCCCCCTGCCTCTGCCTCCCAAGTGCTGGGACTCAAGATGTGCGCCACCACCGCCTGGCAGTCCTCTCAGACTTCCTATGCATGTGATTATACTGTCTGCAAAGGATAATAATTTCACATACACACGCATGCACATGCACACACACAAAATAAAGTATAAGAATAATTTATTTAGACACAATAAAAGTAAACAAATGATGGTATTGATGTCCGAGAGCAATTCTCAAATGATGGCATTGATGTCGGTGGGTAAGCCTTGTTTGTTTGTTTGTTTGTTTTTGAAAGTGTAGTAAATTGCCTTATCTCCTTGTAACTATGCCAGTCCTAGCTAAGATATGCATAACCTTTTTCCCCATCTGTTTACTTTACATCCCAACCGCAGCCTTTCCCCATCATTCCCTTCCAGTCCCTCCCCCCAACTCCTCTGCCTCTGCGAGCTTTATCTAACCCTTAGCTTTGACACTTCTGGTGGTTCACTGTCAGACGGTCTTTTTTTTTTTTTTTTTTTTTTTTTTTTGGTTTTTCGAGACAGGGTTTCTCTGTATTGTTTTGGAGGCTGTCCTGGAACTAGCTCTTGTAGACCAGGCTGGCCTCGAACTCACAGAGATCCACCTGCCTCTGCCTCCTGAGTGCTGGTATTAAAGGCGTGCACCACCAACGCCCAGCCTGTCAGAAGGTCTTACCTGAGCTGTTCTTATATTATCAAGATAGCACTGTATGGCAGATACATTTTTAAAGATTTATTTATTTTTATGTGTATGAGTGTTTGCCAGTGTGTGCAGGTACACCTCACATCTGCCTGTTGCCTACAGAGGCCAGAAGATTGTGTGGGATCCCCTGGAACTGGAGTTCCGGGTGGTTGTGAGCCACCGGGTTTGTGCTGGGAACTGACCCCGGGTCCTCTGAACAAAGCAGCCAGTGCTGCCGAAGCATTTCTCCAGCCCTGTCATTCTTCATTTGTTTGTTAGTGTTTGTCTTAAGCAATTCTCTTTTTTTTAAAGATTTATTTAATGTAACTTAATTATTTATTTATTATTTAATTATTTAATTTAATTTATTTTATTTAATGTAGACTGTGTTCTGTCTGCTTGTATGCCCGCACACCAGAAGAGGGCACCAGATCTCATTACGGATGGTTGTGAGCCACCATGTGGTTGTTGGGTGGTGTGTTCACATTTATTTGCGGGGTATCTGTCTGTGTCTGCACACATGTGCACAGGCCATGTGTGGTACATTTGTGGAAATCAGAGGACAACTTGTAGGAATTGCTTCCTTCCTTCCCTCCTTCCTTCCCTCCTTCCCTCCTTCCCTCCTTCCTTCCTTTCTTCCTTCCCTCCCTCCCTCCTTCCTTCCTTCCTTCCCTCCTTCCTTCCTTCCTTCCTTCCTTCCCTCCTTCCTTCCTTCCTTCCTTCCTTCCTTCCTTCCTTCCTTCCTTCCCTCCCTCCCTCCTTCCTTCCACCATGCAGATTCTGAGGCTCAAACCCGGTTGTTAGAAGCAGCAGCAAGTACCATTACCTACCTAGGAGCCTTTTTTTCGGGGGGGGGGGGGGCAGGGTTTCCTTATGTGGAGCCCTGGACACACTAGGAATGTTAATCATGCAGGGCAGGTGCCTGTGTTTTCCACCCAGGAAGCTGAAAGTGGATACTGTTAATAACCAGGTGACCTTGGCTCTCTGTGGGCCAGGCCTCACCCAAATCCCCTGGAGTGTTTATCCCAGACACTTCCTCCCCAAACCTTTATCTCAGCACTGTTCCTCAGTCAGCAGAACCCATCCTTAGTGCAGAAGTCCCTGTACTTCATAGCCTGCTGACCTCTGTGCTGTGTGGGTCAGAG